ACTCCCAAATCTAAGAATACTGGGGCATAAGAAGTCAAATACAATACATTATGATGTAATATTGTCCTGATTTACTCAAGCTTACTTACTAAAAAAATCAAACTGTGGCTAGCGTACAGATATTACAATGGAAGCCATTTCTTTTTAGTCTATTAACCTAATTAAAGAGCTTTTACATTATTTACTTTTGCTGTTTTTATTGTATTCAGAAATTGTGAACTGTTACATCATTATTTGTTAGCTGAAAGAATAAACCATATTTTAGATTTTTTCATTTTTGAAAATGAGATTGAGAATTTCATATATCAGAACAAAGACAAATTTATTAAAAAATTTTGAATAGTGATATTTTGATATGAATCATGATACAGTTCAAGTGTATTATGACATATCACAACAAGAGGCCCATGGGCCACATCGCTCACCTGAGCACTAAGGGTAGGAAAAAGTAGAAAATGGCTTTTTATTGTAAAGTTTAAATCCAAAAGTAGTCCCATGACGAATCATGGATTTGCTATTTTTTAGAAAATGATTTTTAAAGAATTTTCCTATATATATCTTTAAAAACTTTGGTCAGCCATTTTGGCCCCGCCCTACCCCTAGGGGTCATGATTTGAACAAATTTGAATCTACACTACTTGAGCATGCTTCCATATAAATATGATGAATTATGGCTTTGTCATTCTTGAGAAGAAGATTTTTAAAGAATTTTCCTATATATTTCTATGTAAAACTTTGGTCGGCCATTTTGGCCCCGCCCTACCCCCGGGGGTCATGATTTGAACAAAACTGAATCTACACTACCTGAGCATGCTTCCATATAAATATGATGAATTATGGCTTTGTCATTCTTGAGAAGAAGATTTTTAAAGAATTTTCCTATATATTTCTATGTAAAAATTTGGTCGGCCATTTTGGCCCCGTCCTACCCCCGGGGGTCATGATTTGAACAAAATTGAATCTACACTACCTGAACATGCTTCCATATAAATATGATGAATTATGACTTTGTCATTCTTGAGAAGAAGGTTTTTAAAGAATTTTCCTATATATTTCTATGTAAAACTTTGGTCGGCCATTTTGGCCCCGCCCTACCCCCGGGGGTCATGATTTGAACAAAATTGAATCTACACTACCTGAACATGCTTCCATATAAATATGATGAATTATGGCTTTGTCATTCTTGAGAAGAAAATTTTTAAAGAATTTTCCTATATATTTCTATGTAAAACTTTGGTCGGCCATTTTGGCCCCGCCCTACCCCTGGGGGTCATGATTTGAACAAATTTGAATCTACACTACCCGAGCATGCTTCCCCATAAGTTTCATCTTTCCTGGCACAGTGGTTCTTGAGAAGAAGATTTTTAAAATATGCCACTAAATTTTCATTAATTCCCAATTATCTCCCCTTTAATGAGGGCGTGGCTCTTCATTTGAACAAACTTGAATCCCCTTCACCCAAGGATACTTTGTGGCAAGTTTGGTTGAAATTGGCCCAGCGGTTCTTGAGAAGAAGTCGAAAATGTGAAAAGTTTACAGACAGACAGCTAGACGGACAGACGGACGCCGGACAAAATGTGATCAGAAAAGCTCACTTGAGCCTTCGGCTCAGGTGAGCTAATAAACTCTAGCCATACTGTACGTTACTATGTACATTTATAGTCTGCATTTGTCTCTCCTCTCTAAAAAGACAAACACTGTTTATAAATATCACTTCCTCTGTCCTAGATTTAATACTGTTTTGTGTGTTGAAGGGTATCATGATATTGAATTTTCTTATTTTCTACCTTGTGATAGTCGGGCAGGATCCAATCTGTCATAATGGTCAGAAAGCTGGGTCAATAAAGTACCAGTCCCATATTTCTGGAATTAAGCCTTGGGTGACATTGTAGTCATATCCTGGTGCTGTCCTTATTGTTTTCTCCCTTTCCTGTTAAAATCAAACTTTTATTTACTTCTCTAGAATTCTTCATTTTCATACATTCAGTAGGAAATATTTGGATTTTCAAAATTTGTAGCGTGTAGATACATGTACATGAATACAGGATGTACACAATGTTATACATGTAACATATGATCTACTTGTATGATCTAGTTGAATAATAACAATGATTTTCTATAATTTTAAGCCTTTATATGCTAGAATGAGATCTTTAATTTATGTAGAATTCTGATTATTATGATGTTTTTTATCTCTTCTGGCCTATGCTAAATGGGAGAACTCATAACAATGGACATGTGTTACTCATTTACAAAAATTGTCTCATTTTATTCAGAATTTATACTTTACCATTTATCCCATCAATGTTTCCTCAGCCCTGCCATCACAGAAATTCCAGCTTTCATTGAATATCTGAGCTCAGTCTCGAATTACAAAGCTCTGTGTTTTCTTGAATATTCTCATTATCATTGATGCCATTCGCACAACCATGAAATCAACCATTGCGCTTGCATCCACAGTCTTGAATTTCTATCAAATTCATTGAGAATTTGTTGTATTACAGCCATGAGACACAAAACTTCTCGTTTCCAATGATGCATGGACGCCGCCATTGCAACTTGGTGTAAACTAACGCATGAAAAAATAATCCAGATTTAATCGGATTGATAAAATTAGACCGTTACTTGCAGTTCTAAAAAATAAATAGAACAATTGCCATTTTTCTTTATTTTAATCATTAAACTTATACACAACACTCAGTTTGAAATTTTTGAAAACCGAATTACTCGCGCAAGCCAATTTTCCAAATTTTGGAAAAAGTTTGGAAAGCCTGTGGCAGTGGCATTATTCGTAGGGAACGAAAGTAGTCCCGGAGAATTGACACTGTATGGAGTTTGATTACATCCGATAAGACTAATTACAAAACCGGTCAACAAACGCGGAAAATTCCGGACTCTTGAAATCTAAAACTCTTGACCTCTCCAAGTTTTCTCTCGGTCCCGCGGACTTCGAGGTATCGAGAGTTACCTGTATACATAAATGGAGCACTAAGTTTAGGTAAACGAGTTCAATGTCAGAGCATTAAACTTTTTCACCACCTTTAAGGAGCACTAAGTTATGTCAGTGACAGCACAAAATTATGTTCAAAGTCATAGACAGATTTACAAAACTCATAGAAATTGGATTTCAATGATTTATTTATGATTCATTCCATTAAATTTTTTATACGTAAAGTTTTCAAATCTATTCATAAAGGTACTATCTGAAAAATGTCCGAAATGAAAACAAAAAAATGTCAGAAATTAATACCAAGTGTTGGAAATGAAAAGTTGATAATTGCAAAAAAATTCCGGAAATGAAATGCAGCTGTATTTTGATGTAATTTTTTTTTCCGTATAGAATTGTGATCTAATTATCTATTTAATATACATTAATTATCTTCTTTTTAATTAAGCTTAATATGAAACCTTTAAAAAATAAGTTATAATCTTTACTGATGTGCAATTATTATCACCATATACACTGTACCACCATATTCACGCTATAAGAAATTTCACCTTATAAGACATCAAATTTTCAACAAGACAAGAGGCCCACGGGCCTTGTAGGTCACCTTATTATTGTGTAACAACTTTCCAATACATAAACTTTGGTTTATGTTTTAAACCAGAGGCCATGAAATTCACAATTCACAATTCTGAAAGTCAGGCACCATTGCATATCATAATTATAAACTTAGCATGCTTATTCTATTTACTTAATACCTAGAGGCAGATCAGAGTAACAAAGAGAAAATGCACTTACACTTTATAACCAAAGCATTAGTTTATTTTCAGACTATGTATCCCTCCCCACCCCCACCCCGGGGCATAAAAAATAACAATTTTGCTGGATGCACCCTTCTTCATCATAAATTTATATACTTGGACAATTGACATAAAAACCAAGAGCAAAGGAAGATTTTTAAAGAATTAATGTATTTTCACTATGTAATCAATAGAGCCCCTCCCTAGCACTAGAGCACCTGACCCTGGGGCCATAAAATTCACAATTTTGGAAGAGGCGCTCTTGCTCATCATAACTATGTACTTAGCTTATTTAATACCCAGAAGCAGAGAAGAAGATTTCCAAAGAATTAATGTGTTTTCACTATATAATCATGATAATCAATAGAGCCCCGCCCTAACACCAGAACCCCTGACCCTGGGGCCATAAATTTCACAATTTTGGTAGAGGCACTCTTGCTCACCATAACTATGTACTTAGTTAGCTTATTTAATACCCAGAAGCAGAGAAGAAGATTTCCAAAGAAATAAAGCATTTTCACTATTATATATACATGTAATCTATATATAGCCCCTCCCTAGATCTAGAGCCCCTGATCCTGGGGCCATGAATTTCATTATTTTAGTAGAGGACTCAATGCTCAATACATTAATCTCAACAGCTTGTCTGCTTGATGTCCAGGAGTAAAGAAGAAGATTTTTAAAGATTGAAATAATTTTAGTGGTTTTTGCCCCACCCCCCAGGCCCCAGGGGTGCAGGGACCATGAAATTCATAATTTATGTTCCCCTTCACCCATAAATGCTGTACACAAAATTTGGTAGAAATTGGTACAGTGGTTTCAGAGAAGAAGCTGAAAATGTTCAAATGTTAACTCATGATGGATGGCGACGGACGAAAACGGATAGCAATAGGCCACCTGAGTTACTCAGGTGACCTAAAAAACAAGAATTTTCTCATTAAGATCTAGAGGTTTTTTGATGTCTGCACATTACTAGTCACATCAGGGAACTTGATGATTAAATATTTCTTTGTTCCTGGCTTCAAAGCTAAGTGTTTCTTTTGTAAACAGGACTTGACAATAAGGGAATTCTATTATGTGTGTTAATATGAATTAATTTCATGAACTCCTTTTGTTGAACCCTACCTTGACAGATATTTTTTATCAATTGACACTGACATGATTTTCAATTTGCTGTCAACCTTCTTGGTGGTGAGCTAAAAACCATACCTTGTTCCTGAAATAGATAATATATTATTGTCTGTTATATTTACCATTGTCAGTAGTCCTCTCAGTGCCTGGGGTTGTATGGAGTGATGATCCTGAAGTCGGTCGCACAAATACGTCACCAAGGACTTCACTGGAAAGAACAAAGAAAAAGCTTTGTGATGTCACTTTTGAAAATATGTATCAACATGATCTTCTTTTTATTTCAATCAGTTTTACAGGATTGCTATGGATATCTTTACAATAGCTGTAAAGTCTATTTATACTAATGCTTATATTCTGAATCATTCAGATGTTTTAAATAAAATTATTTAAAAAAAAAAAAAATTTTTAATTTCAATGTTTTTTTAAACAATACCCGGTAATATATAATATTATACACAATACAAAGACAAAAAAAAGTGTCACCTTCCATTGAAGACAGCAGTGTGTTTGGGATGATGGCGATAACATCACACAAAAGTCGTATGACACGCCCCCTTATCTGGTGATCCTCATTGGTCAAGTACTCCCTAAGGAAGATACAGATTTGTTAACTATAAATACTGTATAAACACAAATTTTCGAGGGGATCAAACTTCGTTGATTTGTTATCTTAAATTGTTTCATGGGCATTAATATTTCATTGCTTCTAAAGTAATCCTATTCAATATAAAGTAATATGACAATTTCATGTGGGATTTAATTTCATTGATTATTGTTAACAACAAAATAAACAAATTTTAATCTTCAATGAAATTTTCTGCTTTTACAGTCGATACAAAAAAATTGACCAAATAAAATTATACAGATACAAGTATGTATCAATGTTAATTTAGGAAACTTTGAAACTAAAATTAAGGTGAAGTATAATTAATTCTACCATTAAATATCAGAAACTTATACTGTACTCACCCTATATTTTCAATAAGTTCCAGCAGGGAGATAGACTTCTCTTGCAAGCCTACAAATTACAGTAAACAAAGTTTTTAATTAGAGCTCAACAAGAAAATTGAAATAATCATGTGCTGTACATGTGATTCTAAAATTTACTGCACATGTACAAGTTCCTCTGCCAAATAACTTTAAATTTCTGAGGAATGGGTCCAGAAGCTACTGAAATTGCCAAATTAATACCCATAATTCTCTGGATGTATCAATGAAAAAAAAAAACTTCCACAGACTGAAATATTCTAATTAATAAATATTAATTAATTTGCACTTGCTAATCATGCTTATGTTATCAAAGTTAGGGATGTGAGATTTTATCGGTATACCGGTATATCGCGATTTTTTGTTGCGTGATACGTATCCTGATACGGAGACCTAAATACCGGTATGTAGGTACATATTATGAAGTCCAGAAATTATTCATTTATTTGTTCCATCTTTCAAATTACAATTACAGAAAGTCTAAAAAATGTTGTAAAAGGTGAAAAGAACGGCATTTTACCATCCAAACAGAAATAATTTTATGTACATAATGATCAAAAAAGTGAATTTTTGTTTTTCTAGAATATTTTAAGAAAAAAATAATGACTTTTCATTTAAAATCATTATAAAAATTCCTTGTTAAAATATCATGATATTATCGTGATATTCTGGGAAAAAATCGTGATATATCACGATACGAAATTTTTGGCGATACCCATCCCTAATCAAAGTGATTGACTTAAAACAGAAAACAGTTAAACACATTTCTTATCAGTTAGTGACGAATCATTGCACCTCAAATATGGCAAATGGTATTCTAGAAAAAGTTCAAAAAAGAATCTTTAAATTTGGTTTTTTAATGAAAGTCCTTCAAGTCAACTTAAATTTAAATTTTTATTTGGGATGCATGAAAAAACTTTCTAAATGAATGGAGTTTATACTGTTTAAAAAATTAGTTTTTAGCCAGTTGATTGAGAGAGGGCAACCAAATAATTATTTTTTTAAGAGGGCCTAAATACATGTAGCTTGCCTATTTATAAGTATCAGAAAACTTGTACATTAATAGTTATCCATTCCATATTTCTTACAAAAGGGATCACAACAAATAAAACGAAATAAAGATGATAATGAAATTTATTTACTGGATCTTTTATTTAAAAAATAGTTTTAAAAAACTTACTTCAAATGCAGAGATATCAATAACATACAAAATTTACAATAGAATGATCGGGATTTATGATGTCACTGAACAGGGTACAGAATGAAAGCGGAAAAAACACTATGTGAATGGACTCAAGCGAACAGAATAGTAAGATACATGTACCTGCAGAACTGTATCTTGTGGTTTTATATTTAATTAGACATTGGTTATTATGCTACAGATCCTACCTACCGTATAAGTGGAAATTTTAGTGAGACGCAAACTTAGGAATATGTCCTTAAAAACTGGTAATTTATTTTTAGCGCGATGTTATTTTAGCGATTTTTAATTACACACTAAAGAAGGTATTACAAATAAAACGCAATTAATTTTTAGCGATATTTAATTTTAGCGATCTATACACCCTCGCTAATAATGCCAAAATTAAATCCTCGCTAAAAATTCTATTTATACGGTATAATGCAAAAAAGGTACAATTTGTGAAGCACAATTTTCCCTGCACTTTTAAGGAGAAATTGCGCCACAAAATCATGAAAATGCTCCATGTAATTTACATCTATCGTATCTGTAGCATTTTGATCAAAGACTTAAATATAAAACCATTGTATCATTGTTGTGATGTTTTTATGTGCCCGGATCGATAGATCCAGGGCGTATATTGTTTTTGTCCTGTCTGTCTGTCTGTCTGTTTGTTTGTTTGTCACGAACTTTAACCTTCACCATAACTTTTGAACCATGAAAGATAGAGTCTTCATATTTGGTATGCATACTCCACTAATTAAGCTCTTTCAAATGACACCAAGGTCAATGACCTTGTGACCTTGACTGTGGCCTATATGCTAAAAATAGCTTTTTTCTGCAAACTTTAACCTTCGCCATAACTTTTGAACCATAAGAGATAGGAGGCTTCATATTTGGTATGCAAACTCCACTAATCAGGTTCTTCCATATGACACCAAGGTCAATGACCTTGACTGTGACCTTAATGCTAAAAATAGCTTTTTCCGAACTTTGTTGCTGCCGGGCGCATAGTGTTTCACAAACACATCTTGTTCTTTTGAAGATCGCTGTGTTTTTATTTTTGAATTACATCATGGCTAACTGTGATCTAACAACCGTGATCTGTCAAGATAGAGAACGCCAGGGTGATGATGAAAGAATTCTAATAAATGACCCATAACCATACATCGAATAATTAGGGGAAAAGTAAATTTATACAAAGTCATTTAAACATAGTAAAGGAATACCTTCCCTAAAATAAAATAATTTTGCAAGTCGATTTTTAAATCCAAAATGAAATTCACACAGCGGTTTCAGAAATAAATGTTTTTGACTCGCATAAACTTGAAGCGTAACAAAGCACACACAATGAACTACATGTACAGGAAACGAGGTAAATATTCCGAGCCATCTTGTTTTATTAATTCCAACAGAAATTGACGCATCCAGTAAGTTGAAGAATCGCTGTACATCTCGGTCAAAAGTGTCCATTTTCCCATGCAGTATTCCTTGAACGTTTAAATTGCCCATTTAGTATTTTTACGAGTGTAAAGATTAAGTGACACAAAGAATTTTCCTTCATAATTTTAGTTTGCATCGAGATTACTGCAATAGCATAAAATCACAACCGTCATCCATGGCGTTCAGACTTGAATGGTCAATGGTGAGGTAATCCATCAAAGTTTAAGAAATGCAGTGTGCAATACTTTTCACATCATGTGATCAGCAATACTTTTCACATCATGTGATCCTATTTCATTGGTCAGATAAAATTGTATTATGAAATTTTGATAGATCATGGCTAACTCAGTGCATGAGAATACAGTCGAACTACATGCTATAACGTAAAAGTGATAGATCAGGGGTCAGTCAGTTCCTGGGAACAATGATACAAAACATATAGAGCACCTTTTAACTCGTCTGATATCTGAAGATACACTCGTTAAAAGGTACTCTATATATTACATATAACACTACAGTTCTGCAGCTAGGGTGGACAGTCCCGATACAAGTTTGGTTAGATCATGGATCAAAGTTGCAAGGGTAACTTAGCTGTGTAAATCTGCAAGGCTCTCCCAAATGGTCAAATCAAAAAACAGATAAAATATAGACATTGACAATGTGTTGAATTACTTGTGAGCACAGCCAGCAGCACAAAACAGGGTCTACTTGTCACTCTTAATTAAAACAACAGTGTGTAAAGAGAAAATTGGGTCTTTGACAATTGATCCAATTAATTTTTTTACAGTTTTCTGTGTACCTCCCATATTAATTCTTAGCGAAATGCATCTTATTGCAAACTATGATCTCGCTGTTGCAATATCAAGGCATTCCCAAAAAAAATGAAAAACGCATCTTGATCTAAATAGATATATCGTCCCTGACAGATGAATACTGTAAATCACGTTTTATTCGCGAGAACTTAATTTTCATGTAATAACGCGAGACAATCAGAGCTCGCAAAAATTTCATTCTCGCGTTTAAAAGTATTCTTTACGATTATATAAAGGAAGAACAACAATTCGTGAAAATTATGTCTCGCTAATAAAGAGTCAATGACTATCTCACGAAAACAAGGTGTCGCAAAAAATTAGTGATCTACAGTAATAGATTAAATAGTGGTTTGCATGCCTCATGGATCTAACTTATATCTGCGTTCGTCCGAACAGTCGAGCTGTCAATATATTATGAAAACATAATTATGAAAAAAAAATACAAGAATAACTGTACGATAAGGTCAAAGACTACACCTTTTAAAAGCTATATAATTGGGTGTGTGTTTTTCTATAGTTTCCATCAAACTATAAAAAAAAAATGAAATTAAATATTTCAAACAGTATGCAATTCCAGTTTACAATATGGATAACTTAAATAATATTATTGATTCAGATATTTCCTTCACTATAAATGATCAATTATTTCTTGAAACCCTGCTCTTTGAAATAAGGGGAAAAACTATATCCTATGCAACTTACATAAAAAAGAAAAAGGAAAATAAGGAGAAAGAATTGATAGAAAATATCAGGATATTGGAAGAAAATATTTCTGAAAATAATATTGATGAATTATTTAGTAATAAGCAAGAATTAGAAAATATTCGAAAACATAAGCTACAGGGTTCATATATCAGAAGTAGAGCAAAATGGGTGGAGGAAGGTGAAAAACCATCAAAGTACTTTTGTTCATTAGAATCAAGAAACTTTACAAGCAAGATAATACCAAGATTAGAAGATGATAATGGAAATGTTATTTATGACCAAACAGAAATTTTAAGAGAAGCAAAATGTTTTTATGAACAGTTATATACAAAAAGTACAGATACTACAAATAATGATATATTCAAAGAGTTAAGAAATAAAGAAATTCCTAAGCTTTCATATAAAGAATCAGAATCTATAGAAGGCGAAATTACTATGGAAGAAGCTTCTTCTACACTTTACAAAATGAAATCAAATAAATCCCCTGGCTCAGATGGTTTCTCTGCAGAATTCTTCAAGATGTTTTGGAAATATATTGGGTTTTTTGTAGTCAGATCTATTAATTATGGATATAAGCACAACAGTCTATCTATTACACAAAAACATGGTATCATTACTTTTTTACCAAAAGGTGATAAACCTAGACAATTCTTAAAGAATTGGCGACCTATTACTTTACTAAATACGGTATATAAAATTGCATCTGGATCCATTGCAAACAGAATAAAATGCTATTTAGATAGAATAATTAATGAAGATCAAACAGGCTTCATCTCTAATAGATATATAGGAGAAAACACCAGGTTAATTTATGACATAATGCATTACACTGAGGAAGAAAATATACCTGGATTATTACTACTTATTGACTTTGAAAAAGCCTTTGATACACTTTCATGGAACTTTATACAAGGCGCACTTAACTTTTTTAATTTTGGACCCTCAATCAAGAAGTGGGTATCCCTTTTTAATACAGATATTACATCTGCAATAAACCAAGGTGGTAACCTTTCTGATAGAATTAACATTCAGAGGGGTTGTAGGCAAGGCGATCCTTTGTCACCATATATATTCATTATATGTGCAGAAATTTTAGCAATCCAAATTAGATTAAATAAAAATATTAAAGGTATTTCTATAAACAATACTGAAAAAAAGATTTCTCAGTTAGCGGATGATACATCAATTATTCTTGATGGTAGTAAAACGTCACTCACAGAAACACTGCAAATACTTAAGACATTTTCGGAAATGTCGGGATTACATGTTAATTATTCCAAAACTCACATAGTGTGGATAGGCTCAAAAAAGTTTAGTGACGAAATTTTGCTTCCAAATTACAAACTTAACTGGGGAACTACCAGATTTACTCTTCTTGGAATACATTTTGATGTAGAATTGGATAAAATACTACCATTAAACTATGAACCAAAACTGGTACATATTAAATCAATACTTAAACAATGGGAGAAAAGGTATTTAACTCCCATAGGGAAAATTTCTGTTATTAAAACATTAGTTCTACCATTACTAAATCATATTTTGATGTCCATCCCAAATCCTTCTGAATCATTCTGTAAGGAATTGGAAAAAATGTTTTTTTCATTTATATGGAATAATTCAACCCATAGGGTTAAGAAAGAAGTAATTGTAAAAAAATATGAAGAGGGGGGTTTAAAAATGTTAAATCTGACATCTTTTATAGCCTCCATGAAATTATTTTGGATAAGGCATCTAATTTTTACAAATAGAGGGTTGGAAAACCTCATTCCTAAATTTAATTTGAACAAATTTATAAGTTGTGGAATTGAATATACTTCAACTTTTTTAAAAACATTGAAAAATAAATTTTGGATAGATGTTTTTAAGTCCTGGATAATGTTACAAAATCTTGAGAAAAAGTTTGATGTTGCTGGTGACTCACCACTATTTTACAATCCACATTTGCATATTGGCGGAAAACCATTCTATAATAAAAATATGTTTGAGAGCAACATTAGACAAATTAATGATATCATTAATGAAGATGGTTCACTATTTTCTTATGAGCAGTTGTGTAACACCTATCCAAATATAAAGATTAATTTCTTAGAATTCAGGAGTATTATTCATGCTATAAAGGATTGGATGAAAAACTCCGGTCAGGAAAAAACAATAAAAAAGCTCACAAATCCCATGATTATGTCTAATATCTACACAGTAACAAAATGTAGAAAATCTAAATGCTATTATGAAATCCTTATTCAAAATTCTTCTGTCACAGCAGGTAGAACTTATTGGAGTGAGCTTTTAGAAGTTGGAACTCTGCAGGAATGGAAAAAAATTCACATGATACCCTTTAGGGTAACAAAAGATTGTAAACTACAATGGTTCCAATATAGGATTTTAAACAAAATCCTAGTAACAAATTCATTTTTATTCAAAATAAAAAAAAAATGACTGTAAATTATGCAGTTTTTGTCATACTGAGGATGAAACAATAGAACACCTTTTATGGGAATGTGATAATACACAATTTTTTCTTGAAGAATTTGTACATTTGTTAGAAGAAAAAACTGGTTTAATGATAAATGTTACTAAGAAATCTTTTATTTTAGGATTTATTGAGGAAAATACTGATATTCAAAATGTTATTCTACTTTGGCTAAAATACTATATTTATACTGCCAGGTGCACAAAGAAACATATTAACTTACAAAATGCAATATCACAAATGAAATTTCATTATGAAACACAGAAAATTATCTCTTATAAGAATGGTAAAAAGGAAAAGTTTGATACCCAGTGGAACAGGTGGAATCTGCTATTCTCTTAACTTGAATCTTTACACACTCTCTTTCTCTTCTCTCTCTCTCTGCTCTCCCCTCTATCTTTCTCTCTATCGTTTCTATCTCTCTTAAAATAAAAAAAACACATCAGTCTGTTTCTTTTGAAATATGTTTATAATGATGTATGTTGTGTGAATAAAAAAAAAAAAAAAAAAAAAAAAAAAAAAAAAAAAAATTAAATATTTCAGGGCAAACTTTGCAGAATTATTTATTAAGAATAAATTTTTCTAAGACTATGTCTGAAGATAATGCTAGAAACCAAAATTTGCAAACCATTGCTTAATGTTTCTACAGCAGAATTATCCAAAAGTTTGACATATTTGGTAACTTCGTTTTTCCACATGGGCGCAGCCATCTTTAAAATGAACACGATAAATAAAATGCCTTGATCAATAATACAGATTCCGGATTTAAAATATGTTCTATTACTTTTTATTGTAATTGTTCTATAATACAGGTATTACTCTAGATATGTGGAATGTAAAATCAAGGTAGTACCGTGTGAAATTAACTGATTATACAATTATTTCTCCGATCTCTTTTCCGGAAAAACAATTTCTCACTGGAAGGGTTTCTTATAGACCGTTTCACGATAATTTCCGCACATGCGCATAAGTACTTCCGCAGGGCAAAGCATTTTTGAGCAACGCCTACTTCCTTCGTAAAAAGTACAGATTTCAAGCGACGAGAATAAATTGTTTATAAATGAAACTGTCTATGATTTAGCTTAAACATAATTTTTTGTGTTTTAAACTTGTGTTTTTACTACAAATAAACAACATATTCTTACAAAATATAATAATAAAATGAGCTCTAAACTAGCTACTCGATATACTCTTTGCGCATATACGGGGACTTCCGTGTTTACATTGACAACAAAGAGGGCAAACCGGGAGATTTTAAATAGCCAAAAAAGGAAAAATGTCAACACTCCAACGACTGAAATCCCATTAAAGTTGAAAATGTCCTCATCTGAAGGTGTCATCCCTGAGATTCCGGGTCATGAAAACCTCCCCCCTCTTCATTTAGCCTCCTATTCGGCACTATCTTCAGACGCCACACCCACACTTTCTTTTAAAGAAATTTATCGGCACATGGTCCTGAGGCTTACAAAAGAAGGGGAGCGGATTAATAACTACAAAGGGCTAGACAAGGCAGTAAAGCACTTTGAAGCTGGTGATTTGTCACAAATTATGACTGCCCAGGTAACAATTTCATTTGTATTTTTCATATAATATAATTACACATGACATGACCATACACATAAAAAACGAACGGAATTACAAAGTTACCAATATAGTATTTAAAAGATTACAATTTTGATAAATCAATTGTCTTTTGTTGTTTGCAAAGTATATACTTCTATATATCTAGTAATTTGGTCCTTTGTTCAACATTTCCCATTCTCTGAATTGAAATTTTAAGCTAATTTATATGAATGAGATATTGATCATATTTACTGGTACTGCAATATACTGTAACATAAAGATACTCCTGTAAAAAATGTACAACTGCATACCTGGTAATGCTGACATACACATTTATGTGTTATTTATGTATACATATTATTTAATAAAAATAGTCATAATTGAATTTTCAGATTGACAACTCCCTGGAATACATTAGAGCTTTTTGTTTGGCATCCATGAAAAAAGTTCGATATAAAGTCTACATTTGTTTGCTGGACAGGGGGAAAGTATGCTATGCATACTGTGAAAGTCCTATTGGGTAAGGAATAAGTTTGCATCTGGATAGACAAACCTATTCAATATATGTCTAAAACACACATTGTAATATATTACTATATAAATTATGTAGATCTTTTAAAACTCCTTTAATTCATTTTTAGGCTAGCACAATCATGCAGTCACATTGGAGGACTACTAATGTATCTCCATCACCTCTACCTCAGTCAGGTCCTGAGTGCCGACAGCTCTACATCCAAATCCTGTCAGTGGAGCGTACCCAGACCAATCAAGATGCAACCAAAGCCTCTCAAAGAGTGGAATTTTGGTAGACCTAAACTAGGCGAGGGAGGGGAGGTTGAGTTCAAGGAGAGGAAACAAATCCATTTTGACCCACGCCACCCTGATCAAAGGTCTTTTGACCTTTCCAGATCCATGCATCAACTGAAGCTGTTAAGAGATGTGTTTCCCAAAACCGGTAACCTTTTATTTTTATTTTCTTTTAGCATAACTAATTTAGTAAATGCTCATCATTGGGGAAAAACATACAAAGATTAAATCTCAATTCACAAATAATTTATTTATAATATAGCACTTGACAAACACTTTTAAAAAAGTGTATAATGCATGCACAACAAATGAATTATTCACGAATGTTTATATCTCAGGCATGGCTTAGTTATGGAACATCCCAGATGAAGCCCCGGACATGGAAAGTGAGGTGGAAGTCAGCACAACTGAAGATCCTTTAGAAAGAGAAATGAAAGCTCTGATCCTGTCTGAAGAAAACTGTAAGTAAAAAATCAGATCATATTAAACAATGGCAAATATCTTACAGTATTTTATTTTTGGTTTCTAATGTTGTTTATAATAGATATTTATTACATAAAATGATAATCATTTCTTATATAGTACCTCTGCCAATCTCAATTGAGGGAGGTCTTAGCCAATACATAGAGGAGAGGACAAGAGGACAAAGGCTATGCCAGACATGGGAAGATCTCCACAAAGGCAGGATTACAAGTTCGGTCTTTGGTGCCATCCTTAGCTCTGGAGACACCCCCCACAGCTTAGTAGACCAAATCATTAATGGATCAAACTTAGACAGGTAAATGCTCATAACAACAGATGACAATATTCATGGGTCTGCACTTGATCACTAGATGACATCTTTACCATGACTAATTCTTTTTCCATAAAAATCTTATTTAGATATACAACACTCCCAAATGCTGTCCAGTGGGGCATTGATCATGAGAAGGATGCCATTGAGGACTACCTCATGTTACAGAGTGCTGTCACAGATATGCAACTGACACCCTCAGGTATTACATTATACCCCTCACATGCTTTTCTCGGAGCATCTAGTGATGGATGGGTGATTGACCAGTCCCTTCCTGAAGAAAACCAACGAGGTGTTCTGGAGGTCAAGTGCCCCTACTCCCTGTCTGGCCATAACATTACAGAGAAGGAGGTCCATGAACTTGTTGGTCAAGTGGGATTTTGCCTAGAGCACACTGACAGGGGTCCTAGACTGAGGCGTGTCCATAGGTACTATGCTCAAGTTCAGGGGGAAATGGCAATTATGGGAACAGCATGGGCAGATTTTGTTGTGTGGACAAATGCAAAACAAAGTAACTGTTTTATTGAAAGAATTTTTTTTGATGCAAAATTTGTGTCCTCAATGTTGCCAAAACTTGTTGAATTTTTTGTAAAACACATTTTACCTTCTTATGTTAAAAATTAAATTTTCAAAACTTAATATCAAATGTTTAGTGAAGTGAAAGCTAAATTGTTCATTAAATTTAATTCAGTAAAAATTTGACATATTTCAAACTCAGTGGTAAGAATATTTCAAGCTAAGGAAAAATGGTAAGAATATTTTAAGCTAAGGAAAAATAAAAAGTCTGTTAATAGCTAAACCACCCTGCAACAATATATTAAATTCTTCACTGAACATTTGTGTTAATTCTTGGAACAACTTTACTTCTGATTTGCTTTTTAATGTCATCAAATAAGGTACTTTCTTTAAGTTTTGATTTTGTAAATTAGTACTCACCTTCAACTGTCAACCAAAGGCACATCAAGATTGGTGATCCAGCAGCAGACAGAAAACATCTGGGTAACTAATGGGGCTAAAGAAAGAGAAAGTACACCATCAAATATATGAAAATTCTTTACACGGCCTATAGCTCTTTCAACATGTATTCTAAGTTTTGCTATTTCTTGAGTTTTAAGTACATCTTGAGGAGAAAACTGAGAGGAAGATGAAAGAAAAGGAGGAATATTTAAAGTACAGCCCTTTTTCTCTAGCATATCTGCAATAGTAAACCCCTTATCTGCCATAACCCCATCCCCTTCTTCCAGCATGCCCAAGAGTAGGGACTTCTCGATCATCTGTCGATCAGACACTCTACCACCAAATCCTTCTGAAACAAGAGAAATAACACCAGATGGAGTAATGCCAATTAGAAATTTAACAGTTGTGTGATGCTTATAATGTGAAAAAGACAAATTCTGATTAACAAGACTGCTTGATTTCTGAACAAATATTTCTGTGCAATCTAAAATAACTCTTAAATTTGGAAAAGAATGAAAACAAGAAGGCATGTTCCTTTGAATGATGTCCCGAGATGGAAAGGGGTTCAACGGTCTCAGCTCCTGGAACAGCAGGCACACCCAGGTAGTGAAGTACTGCGAGTAGGTCCCCACCGACACTCCTAAAAAATAAATACTGTTTGCCCAAAATAATTGTGAGGATACAATTTTGGCATTTTTAGCAAGAGTGTTGAGATAGCAAATATTAAATATCACTAACAAATTATTCCCCATTAGAAATTACCATTTTTTTCTGTTCACCTTTAAATTGATTAAATTACATTGGGGTAAAATTAAATACTGATTTTTAAGGAAAAATTGCTACATTTGTGTCTCAATAAAAATTCCACCATAATGGTACAATATTTCTGAAGAGCTGACAGATCTTTTAATGTAAATTTCATGCCTTCTTATATCTGAATAATATATTTTCATATTATTATTCTTATTAGTTTACATGTGATATATAACACTTTTTTTAAACTTTGAAGAAAAAAATCCTGACAAGGCTATTAGCTCAAACACATACCAAAGCGTTCAGCAATATCTTCAACATATAATCCATCTTTAAGTCGCATCATCGTGGCAAGAAACTGATCTATAAGCTCCAATGACATCGCGCGTCTCGGTCGTGTCCTCTCTCCAGGGGTAGCAGAAGAACCTCTCCAGTACACCATCTCTTTGCACTTGGGCACCAGGTAGCTGCATATATAGATTTTATATGTTATTTTATTTGTATGTACAGTTTATTTTTTAAAGATGTCATTTTAGAGTTTAGTTACATAATATTTCCAATGAATACAAGTGTGCTTTTACAAGTCTAAAACACAAATATAGTAATAAAACATTTTCTAAATAATTCAAATATTCTTTGAAAAATACAGCTATAGACTAAGTGTTAAATTAACTACAAAGTTATACAAACCATTGTTAAAGTGTAAGCAAATCAATTTATACAATTTAAATTTGATAATTTTTGCTTAAATTTTAGATTAATCAATTACTTGAATAGCCACATAAAAACTGCAAAGCTAGGCAGTCCAGTGTAGAATTTCGTCTTGGTGTCATCATCCTTTATCTTGTCAACCGACCACTTATGACCCTGTAACCTCCTCAGCTCAGCTTTCAAGGCCATGTTCTCTTGTAACAGTGGGTCTGGATCACACTGTACACCTATATTGAATGGTACATGTATCATGAGAAAATATATCGGGTAGTCTGAGGCAGGTTGTAAATACATTGGAACCTTATCAATATCAATAAGAAATACACATGAATTTAATATTACTTTGTCTCCTACATACAAGTATTGTCTTGGCTCATATCAAGTTTATTTATCAGTTCTAAGAAATGATCATTTTCTTTATTGAATAGAGCATAAATATATTATGTAGAAATGATAAGTTATGAATGACAATGTGTAATATCATAGTTTTGGACAGAGATGCATAAAAATGCATTTTGATTAAATCTCAATTCTCATGTGTGGCTATAATACCCATATCTCTTGTGTGCTTGACCCCAATGTCAACGTCATCTTGCTCTGCCTCTCTTCTCTCTGGATCCTGGCCTTCCTCCTCTTTACTCTTCGCGTAAGACGAGTGGCTGAACAAGGAAAAGCTCAACTGCCTACTCTCTCGCTCCTTCTGCCTGCACTCTGCTTCTCTAAAATCCTACATAATACATATAAACATTAAATTTCAGTTCAGCTTATAGTGCATATTCACTCCTGATTTACTAATGCTTGTTTGATTGTATATGTTAAATTTATAAATGTTCAAATCAAATTATTTTTTTTAAAATGCATGGGCTGGTCCACTGGGAATGTTGATGATATCAAATGCTATTTTAAAGACAAAAATGGAGCTCTAGGTACAATAGTAAATACCAGAATGGGATTGTAATACATGTACATGTATAACCAATACAAATGCTAATCATGATTTTCTTTAATTACATCATATAGATTTAATTCATAAATTTAACACCTTTTTACCTTCTGTATATTCCTTCTGGCTGCTCGGCTCTGTCTCTCAGCATCAACAGGCTTCTCCTTGTATGAGAATATAGTGGGACCGTAATTCTCATCCGAGGGGTCATCACTGTGCCAACCAGACACAAAGTGCTCTGAACACACACAGGAATGCTCACTGGGTACAAATCCATCCCGATTCAGTGCCCTCAACCAAAGTCGGCGTTTCTTAGCATCTTTGGGGAATCTTAACATAAAATATTTATACAAAATCAAAAATGTTCTATGTAGTATTGACGCACATTGGTACATTTGCACTCATAAGCTCTGTGACACAGACTGTGTGTATGAGAAAAAGATAATAAAATCTTATTTACATAGAATAAACATTGTATGTTGTGATTTAAAGTTGTTTGAAAGCAATAAAAAACGTCATCCGATATTAATTTACACAGTTATATTGATTGTACGATCATTTCACATGCAGAGCTTATGAAGCCCTCTTTGAAAGGGCTACGCTTCTGATATGAATTTTGGATAAAAATGAAGCAAATACCCTTCAATTCACCTGAAAAAACTTATCCCCTTCTCTTTTCCTCTTGCATCGTCCCGATTAGTACACATGTACACACTGCAACTACGCACCATTCTTGAAGTAAACGAGTCGATTAAACCGAAAGAAGTGTTTTCACTAAAATGAAAGTTGCCCTGCGGAAGTATTTATGCACATGCGCGGAGAGCAGGTCCGCAGTTACCGTGAAGGACTTTATTCGTATTTTTTTCTTTTTTTAATATTTTTAAAATAAATGAAATTCATCATTCCATTAATTGGAAGACTGTTATATTTTAAACATGTTAAATTCGAATATCTAACAATCATCATTCTTTTAATTTTTATGAATACTAGCCAATCAAATCACACCATCATCGATCGCCGGTACATCAATATATTTGTGACAGTACACAGAACGTCAAAAATTTAGAAAATAAACCGAGGTAGTTCAAGTTAAGCGAGGGTCAATAACAGCCTAAACTCAATACCCCTCCTGTTTGAAATGGGAGGATGTATTGGGTCGAATCGTGAGAACGGGCCGTCGTCTGGGGAATCGTCAGATGCCGCAGGTAACCGGGGTACAACCCAGCTGTTTGTCAGCTGTTTTGAGGGGCCTAGAAAAATAGGGGTCCGGAAATGTAGGATTAGGAATGTATAACAGTATTTATCTCTACTAGTACATCTAATGCCACACCCTCTGGTGAAGGGTAATCATTGACAGAGGTTCAGAGAGTGTGTTTCTGTAAAATATTAGGACATTTTATTTTCAAAATATTTACACAAAAATAGAAAAAAAAAATCATCAAAATTTTGTGATACATGGACAACTTTCACAATTATTAAAGTTATTCTCCTTCCAGTTTGGGATCAACCAGCATAAGGTTCCCTCCATAACCTTACCAACTTTATGGGTTAGGTACCTTGTGGTTAAAAAAGTAGTAGTGCCCCCATATACGAAACAAGTGTCTTTGGTTGTACATGTAACACTTTCTTGGTGAACAGGCAGTTCTAGTTGGTGCTGCATTGGGTTTGAAGGGGCTATATTAAACAATAGGCTTGAGACAATATAACAAATTCAAATTTCACGTTTAATATTCTTCCTTCTGTTTTTCTTTTATCATACTCTTCTACCTTAAAATTGATATATCTACCAGCTACTGCGTAAAGTTGAATAAGCTTTATTTATGTTATTATGCATAATGCAGGTAGCATTGATCAGCTAGGACATATTGTAGGACAGTATACAGTTATTGAATGGGTACGAGGGAAATAGCAAATTTATGGTTCCCCGAGGGAGGAAACTATTTCCCGAGGCGGCAAAGCCGCCGAGGGAAATAGTTTCCTTCCGAGGGGAACCATAAATTTACTATTTCCCTCGTACCCATTCCATAACTGTTTTATTATACCGAAACAATCATAGGCGATTTAATTTTTTTTGTTTTTACCAGATATTCCGACATATAAAAAAAAAACACTGTAGAGGCATAATTCAATGCAAGCGGTTTAACAGATTGTATGATAAGTAATGTATCCTGTCCTAAAACAATTAAATTATTTTTAAAAAGCATTTTCTTTGACATTTCGAAGAATTGTCGTTGTCTTCATTTTGATTGTAGTATGATTTTGACATCGCATGTCAAAATGTTTTGACGTCATAGTTACATTGCTAATAACATGACGTCACAGACTCGAGATTCCTTGAACGCTCCGCCCACTGAACAGTTTGATTTGTTAAAATTACTAATAAATATTCATGAGTGAGTAGTCCCAGGGAGTAGCTCTGATTTTCCAGGGAGTAGTCCTCAGATGAGCACAATAGTTTCTTCTCGGGGAAATAGGCAGTTTTATGGTATTAATTTTATATAGAGTAAT